GTCCACCTGAAAGCCTAGGTCACTTTTGGAAATTCAGGCTGATTTTTGGGTTAGGTCTTATTTTCGGGAAAACAGTTAGTTAGTTGGGATATAACCAGAGGTGCTCAGATCCTTCCCTCAATATAAACCCCAGCGTCCTGTGACTAATACTGCCAGTTCTTTGTTGATTGATAAGTCTTTTTTGTATGCCTGGTGTGTTGCTCACTTTTGGTCATGCACCGATCTTAACTCCCGAGTCTCCCATTCTCGTGAGCGAAGTGGAATCGCAGTCTCCAAAGTCCTCCACTTTTCCCACTTCTCTGAGGGCATTAATAATATCAGCATGGTCCATGGGTCGAGAGCTTCAGCAGTAATAGCGGATCCAGCAAACTTACCAGTCCATTTGTTTTCTTCGAGGCCCGCGTGCCCCAGAACGAAGACGACGTTGCGCACAGTGGACTTCTGTAATGGTTCGGGAAAACAATGTACCTCTCATTGGGAACTCAGAATTCTGCCCAGGTGGACAAGAACCATAAAATTCTGAACATGTGCTTCAGACGTGCTCTCTACATGAAGTAGAGAAATTTCAGGTCTGGCTAGTTACAATTTTTGTGGAAACCAAGCTGTATGGATCAGCGAAGACATGCATCACACCACAGACTCCCTAAAGGCCTGTGGCCTCACCTGAAAACCCCCGGCAGGAAGTTTAAAATAAGGAGAAACCTCTCCCCCAAAAATATTTTAAAAACTGTAATGATGGTTAGCAACAATGCAGCCACTACTAACTGTGAAACTATTATGCAGTGAGGCCCCAGCCTTTTCCATTGTGCAACTTTCATACTGCTATTAACTAAAAATATCATTTAGTAGGGTTTCCTTATGACCCTCATGTTTTTTTCTAGGGCTGTACCGAATAGTGATTTTTACTATTCGGCCGAATACGAATAGCGGGACCAACTATTTGGCTAAATACGAATAGTGTATAGTGTATAAAATATATATTAAAAAATATAAAAAACCACATGCATAATGTCAAATGTACGCTGAACTTTTACTTCACACAAAGTAGCACAGAATAGTCATCTTCTTCTTTAGCATTCTGAGCTCTTGAGGTTTACTGCTGTAGATATCACTCGTCTCCATTCATCTCTCTGGCTGGCCTTATCTTCACAATTTGTGACACCAGTTGTTTGTAGGTCTGGCTGGACATTATCTCTCAGATTTCTTTTTTGTCTGCCTCGTGGTCTATGCCCATTCCTCTCTCAGGTGTATACAGTTTTTACTTCTCTGTCATCTGACACTTTCAATGTGCCCCAACCATTTTAGTCTGTTAGCTCTCATGATGCCAGTGATCAATCGTGATTTAAACAGATTATGTGTTACGTTGTTGCTTCTCACTTTCCAATCCTCCGCTGTTAGCATCTTTGATGGGTCCAAAGATTTGTCGTAAGACTATTTTCGAAAACCTGTATATATAAAACTATTGGTCTTATCAACGTTTTATATATTTTGATCTTAGTGTTGCGGGACAGACACTTTGACTTTAGCAGATGTTGAAGGACGTAGTATACTTTATTTCTAGATTGTATTTTTTCTCTCAGCATGTTGGAGCAGTTGAAGTTTGCACCCACGTACTTATATGTTTCCTTTCGTTTGATTTTTATATTATAGACTTCGGTGTGGCCGGAGTTTATATTCTTTCCATGTCTAGTTAGTATTCGTACAGAATAGTTAACATTTAAAAACATTTTATGTTTTGCATCCTTCAGTCAGTCTGTGGTAACTAATAACTAGGAATGGAAGAATCCTAAGTATTATAACAAGTAACTGGAAATTGTCACTGACAGCTTAGTTAATGCAGGAAATCTGCATTAGCTATAAACAAAACCAATAGTTCCATGTTGTCAGCATTAAGGCAGTGTATGCAGAAGCGGGTGTAAGGTAACTACTATTCGTATTCGGCCCGACCGCAACTATTCGGTTGAATACCGAATAGTCAATAGGTCCACTATTCGGCCCCAGAGCGAATATTCGGTACAGCCCTAGTTTTTTCTGTTTGTTAATAAACCCTCCATTACTGAAATTAAACCCTAGTCCTTGAGGAAGATGAAACTGTTTAATGCATTCACTAACCTCTAAACCACACAGCTGTCCCACAACAGAGACTTTAGAAATGAAACTCCATTTTCCAAAAGATTATCCCAACCAGCCAGTCAACCAACATTGCGGTGTGTACCCCATGAATGTATGCAGTTGGGAAGTACTGGCTGTGTGTACCCCACAAGTGTATGCAGTTGGAAAGTATTGGCTCACCTGTTAATGTCTACAGATCCTGAGCTCTGTAAATGACAACCATCTCCAGGGGACACGCTGGTATTTGAGTGTCTTGGTGATGCCGCTGTTGATGCACTGTTTACCTTCTGTTGCGGTTGATTTTTAAAAACAGCAGGATCAATAGCTGGACTGTCATTTATCTGATTTATAGTAGCTGTACATGGAAACAACCCAACATCTCTAGAAGTGTGATGAATATCTGATGTTAATGGTGGCATATGATCAGCAGCTGTACGTCGGGACGGCACAACATCTCTAGTAGTATGATGAATATCTGATGTTAATGGTGGCATATGATCACCATCCTTACATCGGGATGGCCCAACATCTCTAGCAGTGTGATGAATATCTGATGATAATGGTGGCATATGATCAGCAGCTGTACGTCGGGACGGCACAACATCTCTAGTAGTATGATGAATATCTGATGTTAATGGTGGCATATGATCACCATCCTTACATCGGGATGGCCCAACATCTCTAGCAGTGTGATGAATATCTGATGTTAATGGTGGCATATGATCAGCAGCTGTACGTCGGGACGGCACAACATCTCTAGCAGTGTGATGAATATCTGATGTTAATGCTGGCATATGAACAGCATCCTTACGTTGGGATAGTCCAAGATCAGCAGTATGATGAATATCTGGTGGCATCAGAACAGCATCTGTACATTGGGACAGCACAGCATCTCTAGCAGTATGATGAATATCTGATGATAATGGTGGCATATGATCAGCAGCTGTATGTCGGGACAGCACAACATCTCTAGCAGTATGATGAATATCTGATGTTAATGGTGGCATATGATCAGCATTCTGACGTCGGGACGGCACAACATCTCTAGCAGTATGATGAAAATCTGATGTTAATGCTGGCATATGAACAGCATCCTTATGTCGGGATAGCCCAAGATCAGCAGTATGATGAATATCTGGTGTCAATGGTGGCATATGAACAGCATCTGTACAAGTTAGTAGCTTTGCAGATATAGACGATCTATGGTGCTCCTTTTGAAGTGAGCCTGGCAAGCAACTATGTGGAATAAGGTCGCCATTTTGAGGTAGGATGAAGCCTCTGCCTCGACCAAATCCAATGTTTTTAATGTTTTGTGGGGACCCTGTTGATATTTGTGAGAGTTTTGAGGAAATAATTAAACTTGTTTGATGACTGACAGGCTGGGTCCTCGAGTCCTCAGAACTTCTTCGACAAGAATCATTATCACACTGTAGGTCATCTGATCCACGTGTCTTCACTGTCAACGACAAATCAGTTTCTGGATTGACAACTGACTGAGAGTGTGTACTTGTTATCTTCATTCTGCAATCTGGTTTTTTCCTAATAGGATATGAACAATCAGCATTAAGCTGTGAACAGGCAGCAGACATTTCTTGTTTGTTCATGGTACAACTCTTATTTTGTCTGGCTCTTTCACTATCACAGGAGTTATTTCTGCCTGGAAAAGACTGTTTATGAGATTCGAGTGGAAGACACTGTGAGACTAAATGTGGCATGTCGATTGGTTGGGGTTTTGACCAATGACCTGAGCTGTTTGATACCAATGAGGTTAAGGAGTCTTTTAAGAAATTGTTGCTGCAAGAATCTGCCAGGCTTTTAAATCTCAAATCTGCGTCTGAAAAATAATAAATACATTACTGATAATCAATATCAAGCAAAACAAACTAAGCAGTTAATAACCACAAAAACAGTATTATAGTAATACCCCTTTTCACACCATCAGGCGCACTAGACACACAGTGCCCGACCTATATTTTATAGACCAAATCAGCACACTGTGAGTGATGTGGTCAACGGGGTCTCTTCTTAAGGAACTGTCAACCCGTTTTAGTGACTTATCTACATAAAATATGCTTTATCAAATGCTCAAACAAGTATATATCATGTAAACTAATATAGGAAATAAAAAGGTCAGATTAAACATTCAAGAGAGATTTGTAGTACAGTGTATTTATTGACAATATGATCCTCAAAAAAGAGATGTTCGAGTGACAGATGAATGAGAAGGAGATGTTTAGTGAGTTGCTGATTACTGATTTAAAAACTGACATCATAGCACACCTGGCATACTCACAGATGTTCTGTCTCCCGCAGCAAATGTCTTAATATAGATGCTAACTGTTCCTGTAGCTCTTTTCTTTCTCTCCTTCCTTTTTCTACCTCTTCCTCTCCTTTTCATTCTCCTACCATAATTTGCTGCGAGTATTGACGTCAGAGCATGTCCACGATAGCTCCCTGAAGAGTCTGTGACAAAAATGATTTGCAAGAAATGGCAAAGAATAGGAAAGATTGGCGCTAGTTGATTGAGGGCCTGAGCTCTACTGGGAAGAAAAGGAAGCAGAAAATGAAAACAAGTCCTGAGGTTAGACACCCAGAGGAAGGAGCAGTTACTTGAAGTGTTCAATATATTATTTAGTCATTGACAACATAGTTTCTTGCATTAAAGAGTCAAGTTACGAACTGACATCACAGCACTTGGGACATTACCATAAGCACTCTGTTACCATCTTCAGCAGCCAGCAAAAAGTCTGATTCCAATGGTGCCAGCTGCAGTTTGATTATATGTTCTTGCGGCATCATTCTCTCCAGACCGTAACGATATTTATTCATGCCTCTGCATTCTTCACTGACTTATCCCCGTGAAGATAATGGCAGAATTCATCACTTACCTGGCACTATCATCTCTGTGGCATAATTTTCATCTATCAAAACTTGGTTGAAGCATACAGATCCTTTCCTGGTGATGAAATAAAGCCTCAAGTGATGGGTATTCTCAGGATCTCGATGGACAATCTCTGCCTGGCACCCTTCGCTTTCTGAAGATGATACATGACACTTTATTGCAGCTTTCTGAAGATGATACATGATAGGTTATTGTAGCTTTCTGACAATGATACATGACAAGTTATTGTAGCTTTCTGAAGATGATTCATGACAAGTTATTGTAGCTTTCTGAAGATGATTCATGACAAGTTATTGTACCTTTCTGACGATGATTCATGACAAGTTATTGTAGCTTTCTGAAGATGATTCATGACAAGTTATTGTAGCTTTCTGAAGATGATACATGACAAGTTATTGTAGCTTTCTGAAGATGATTCATGACAAGTTATTGTAGCTTTCTGAAGATGATTCATGACAAGTTATTGTACCTTTCTGACGATGATTCATGACAAGTTATTGTAGCTTTCTGAAGATGATACATGACAAGTTATTGCAGCTTTCTGAAGATGATACATGACAAGTTATTGTAGCTTTCTGAAGATGATACATGTCAAGTTATTGTAGCTTTCTGAAGATGATACATGACAAGTTATTGTAGCTTTCTGAAGATGATACATGACAAGTTATTGTAGCTTTCTGAAGATGATACATGACAAGTTATTGTAGCTTTCTGAAGATGATACATGACAAGTTTTTGTAGCTTTCTGAAGATGATACATGACAAGTTATAGTAGCTTTCTGAAGATGATACATGACAAGTTATTGTAGCTTTCTGAAGATGATACATGATAAGTCATTGCAGCTTTCTGAAGATGATACATGACAAGTTATTGTAGCTTTCTGAAGATGATACATGACAAGTTATTGTAGCTTTCTGAAGATGATACATGACAAGTTATTGTAGCTTTCTGAAGATGATACATGATAAGTTATTGCAGCTTTCTGAAGATGATACATGATAAGTCATTGCAGCTTTCTGAAGATGATACATGATAAGTTATTGCAGCTTTCTGAAGATGATACATGATAAGTCATTGCAGCTTTCTGAAGATGATACATGACAAGTTATTGTAGCTTTCTGAAGATGATACATGACAAGTTATTGTAGCTTTCTGAAGATGATACATGACAAGTCATTGCAGCTTTCTGAAGATGATTCATGACAAGTTATTGCAGCTTACTGAAGATGCTACATGACAAGTTATTGTAGCTTTCTGAAGATGATACATGACAAGTTATTGTAGCTTTCTGAAGATGATACATGACAAGTTATTGTAGCTTTCTGAAGATGATACATGATAAGTTATTGTAGCTTTCTGAAGATGATACATGACAAGTTATTGTAGCTTTCTGAAGATGATACATGACAAGTTATTGTAGCTTTCTGAAGATGATACATGACAAGTTATTGTAGCTTTCTGAAGATGCTACATGACAAGTTATTGTAGCTTTCTGAAGATGATTCATTCTAGCATGATTTTCAGCATGGATTTCATGCTTTTTTTTTTAATATTAACGCCGTTATCTAACAAATACTGGCTAGTCTTTCATACTATGAGGCTTATACCATATATGTCTCAAGAGAGAAAAATGAGACCATTTTTTTTTAAATATATATTATGCGTATTTAAAGTCTCAAAAAAATTCACCTGACAAACCCTGATCTTACTAAATGAAATGCAAACCAAAGAGAGACCAGTTGCACTATACTTCTCACTAGTGAATGTGATTTACTGATGATGTAAACAAACACTTACTGTCATTACCCGAGAGCTGCAGTGACAGCCTATATCACTATTCCTATACTGAAGATAGTTAAAACATAATATACATACCTTCTACCATCCGCTGCATGTAATCAACAGCTGATGGGTTCCATCTGTTACATGGCCTAAATGTTACGGACAGAACTAAGAATTACACCAATAAACATCAAAGTTTAATTACAAATTCAAAATTTAAGCCTGAAATGTGTTCCCAGAAGTAGTATTGCTGAAAAACTAGTTAAAAGTTACTGACCACATCCCGAATACATGGTCACTTGATATACTAATATTATCTTACAATGGATAAGTAACCCTGAGAAGGCTAAATCTAGTTAGTTACGGTTGTGACATAGTTGTTTATGCACTGGCATTTCTGCAATGGCCTGCTCTTGAAAAGCATAAATTTTACTGGTTCTTCGTGCGCCTCCTCAGTGTTCAGGGGGCTTGCATGTGAATATAATAACTAACAATAGCATTTTGGAGAATTTCATTATAACCCCATTTGTATTTTTTAAAGCCACATTTTCCTGTAAGCCTCAATGACAGAGGTCAAGGGGTCATGCACAAGTTTCCTAATACATATTTGTTTTAGGGAACAGGAAATGTATTATATTTACTGCTTCACTCTGTTCAGGTCTAGCGACCCTATATATCTATCCTTTTAGGAGAAAAACATTTCAAATATAGATTTAAAAAATTGTTAAATGATTTTTTAGTGACATACTTATTGAAGGTTGGGGGAGGGGGGGGGGGGGTGTCCATTTTCCCCCCAAAAAAATAATGTCCCGGAACCCACACAAGAAAAAGACATCCATAACTGGTCATCCAAACGTTTTCTTCTTCTGTTGTTGTCTCACTGATCCCAGGTTGTAGCCCAGTGTCCTGGTTTTCTGTATCTGTCTTGTACTTCTCTGGTGGTTTGCGTGGAGGATTTTCCCAATGTTTTTAAGTCTACAAAAGGCTTGGCAAGTGTTGGCTGAGAGTCTAAGATTCATTGAAAGATGGAAGACATAGAGGATTGGTAAAAGAACAAGAGAAGAAGCTGGAGAACAAGCAGCAGCAGCAATGAGAAAAAGTAAGCTGTGAAGAAGCACTGATAAAACTAGTTGGCATGAAAGTGATGATGACCTCAAGCATTCACCTAAATAATCACAATTCCCATGTGAGTCACGGGGCCCCATTGATGCGAAAACAAAAACAGACCCACTGCCTGCCCAAAAGCATGTTGTGAGAGTCAACTAATTTGGAGCTTCCTCGAAGTCCTACATCTGCCTGAGAGGCAAGGAACCAACAGTCTGCATGCCAATAGGTCAGACCTGAAATTTCTGGAACAAAAAGAGTCCAGAAGTGGATGAACAACCAGAACTTTCTGCAGAAGAAGAAGAAGATTCACCTGTGTACCCAAAGCATTACCTGTCCACAACTTGCAAGCCAGTGTCGGTCGGAACAATTTCTAGAGATAATGGCTGAACTCCCCACAGGCGACACTGGTAAACCTGGGCTGGTACCTCCTGGAAATTCCTGGCCAGTTTAACCAATCTAGAAGTTTGACACATACAGAAAATTAGTCGAGTGTTGGGAGTAAAATAAATGTCGGCAATTCGACAAATACCTACATTTGATCTTCTCGGACCTATAAAACAAAAAGCTAACTCTAGAGAAATGGAACAAGTATACAGATTTAGCCAACATAAGAAAATGTAGACCAATTCTTCTTCATGTGCTGTGGTTTACAGCTAGGCTGCAATAAATGAACCTTTCTATCTATTTCAGCAAATACCTAATTATTCATCTTTTATTACAATCTTGATGAGGGCATTCCATCTATTCATTTCAGAACAGAGTCCAGGAATCCACGTGAGTTCAACAAAAGTGCAAGATTAGACAAGGGCTGTTAAAATATGTTGCATCTGCTAAGGGTTTCCAATAATCATAATGATTAACAGTGTAACTTCGAATAATGATCATTCACAACAGCAAAACATACCATTATTCACCAATAAAATATACCATTCACATCAATTAAAATATACGGTTTACATTGCTAACTATATCTTCACACAACAAGTAAACCATTCGTACCAACAAAATATGCCTTCAAGCCCACAAAATATACCAATCACACTAAGAATACACCTTTCACAACAGCAAAATATACAATTAGCTCTACAACCTGTAGAAGCAAAATAAACTATTCATAATATGTACAATAGCAAGAACAAAATATACTATTCATAACAAGCTATACAACATGCAGCAACAAAATATACTATTCACAAGCTACACAACTTTCAGCATTAAAATATACTATTCATAACAAGCTACACAACTTGCACAAAGAAACATATCATTGAAAACAAGATACACAAATGCAGCAACAAAATATACTATTCACAACAAGCTATACAACTTGTAGCAACAAAATATACTATTCACAAGCAACACAACCTGCAGCAGCAAAATATATTATTCACAACAAGATATACAACTTGCAGCGACAAAATATATTATTCACAACAAGATATACAACTTGCAGCGACAAAATATATTATTCACAACAAGATATACAACTTGTAGCAACAAAATACACCATTCACAAGCTATAGAACTTGCATCCAGAAAATATGACATGCCTTACCTTGACAAGGGAACAGTCAGTTGTATTCCTTTATCAATCATGTAGCAACTGTTAATTAAAAAAACATGGATACACAACAAGAAGAAGATGAGGCAAAACAGTTAAAGAATATATTCATTTATCTATATACAAAAGTTAGTGAGATGGCTGAGATTGCAAGACCAGGATTAGGTCAGACATTGGTCAAGATACTGAAGCCCATCTAAGTGGTATGGTCTGTCCAAAGACTAGGTCAGACACTGGTCAAGATACTGAAGCCCATTTAAGTGGCATGGTCTGTCCACAAACTAGGTCAGGGTATGGTCTGTCCACAGACTAGGTCAGACACTGGTCAGGATACTGAAGCCCATCTGAGGCATGGTCTGTCCACAGACTAAGTCAGACACTGGTCAAGATACTGAAGCCCATCTAAGTGGTATGGTCTGTCCAAAGACTAGGTCAGACACTGGTCAAGATACTGAAGCCCATTTAAGTGGCATGGTCTGTCCACAAACTAGGTCAGGGTATGGTCTGTCCACAGACTAGGTCAGACACTGGTCAAGATAATGAAGCCCATCTGTGGCATGGTCTGTCCACAGACTAGGTCAGACACTGGTCAAGGTAATGAAGCCTATCTGTGGCATGGTCTGTCCACAGACTAGGTCAGACACTGGTCAAGATACTGAAGCCCATCTGTGGCATGGTCTGTAAGCAAGCAGACTAGGTCAGACACTGGTCACGATACTGAAGCCCATCTGTGGCATGGTCTGTCCACAGACTAGGTCAGACACTGGTCACGATACTGAAGCCCATCTGTGGCATGGTCTGTAAGCAGACTAGGTCAGACACTGGTCAAGATATTGCCCATCTGTGGCATGGTCTGTCCGCAGACTAGGTCAGAAACTGGTCAAGATAATGAAGCCCATCTGTGGAATGGTCTGTCCACAAACTAGGTCAGACACTGGTCAAGGTAATGAAGCCTATCTGTGGAATGGTCTGTCCACAGACTAGGTCAGACACTGGTCAAGATACTAAAGCCCATCTGAGGCATGGTCTGTCTACAGACTAGGTCAGACACTGGTCAAGATACTGAAGCCCATCTGTGGCATGGTCTGTCCACAGACTAGGTCAGACACTGGTCAAGATACTGAAGCCCATCTGTGGCATGGTCTGTCCACAGACAAGTCAGACACTGGTCAAGATACTGAAGCCCATCTGTAGCATGGTCTTCCACAGACTAGGTCAGACACTGGTCAAGATACTGAAGCCCATCTGTGGCATGGTCTGTCCACAGACTAGGCCAGACACTGGTCAAGATACTGAAGACCATCTGAGTGGAGTGATCTTTTCTCAGACTAGGTCTCTTCTTCTTCGTGTTCCACAGCTGTTAACTCCGGCTGAAATTTCTGGTTGTTTGTCTACTTCTGGGCTTTGGTCTTGTTCCAGAACTTGATTTTTTTTTGCATGCGCATCCGATTTACAGATGTGGTTTATGTGTGTGCAGATTGTTGGCTCCTCGCCTCTCAAGAAGATGCTGTCCGATATTGAAGGAAACGCCCCCAATTACATGATTTTCACTTCATGTTTTGGTGGAAGGGGTGGGGGGGGGGTGGACAAGCTGTTAGCCACTGCACTACCAAGACTCACTATTCTAGTAAAGCGATTTAGAAATCTGGTTTTAAACCAGTCATAGCTCCATGCCAAAATTATTTGGATATTTAGTTCTTAACCAGTTATATCTCTGTCCCAAATTGATTTCAAACAGCTGTTTCTGAACCAGTTACAGATCACAGCATAAATCCATTCAGAAATCAGGTTCTAGGCACTGTTCCCTGCACCAAAACCATTCAGATACCTGGGTATGAAATACTTACAACTGACTGTGGCAAAGTTCCTTGTGTGGACTCTGACGCTCTATGGTTCCATGGGGGAGGGGGAGGGAGGAGAAAAGACCCACTGCCCCCAATCAAGCATGTCATAAAATATGACTGTTGGGTCAACATAAGCAAATTTTGCAGCCTAGCTGTACACCCCAACACAACATGCCAACCAACCTTTTTTTTTAGGAAGAATGCAGAAAAATAACTGTTGCAAAGTGATTCAGAGATCAGGTTCTAGATTTGTATATCTGCTACAGTTAACTTACAGAGCAGTGCAGCCGCAATGTAGATAACTAATGGAATTTTAAAGTTGGATCCAATAACAAGATGAAGAAATTAAGTTTTAAACAGGTAACATCCACATAATGACTCACCAAACTTGCTTGCCATGTGATTGTGGAATTATGCTATCAATCCTCACTCTGTGCCAAAGGCCATCTTCTCGACTCGAAGCCGCACAAATTTCTCCCTGAAGGATACATGTGTAAATAATTTAATGGCAGCCATGGTAGAGCAGCAGCCAGATACTTGTTGCTGGCCTGAAGGTCTTAGGTTCAAATCTACATCGAGGCAGATGTTTATAACTGACCTAGTCCGCTCCACTCCAGACCAACAGTCTAACATGAGTACCAGGAAATGTACTGGGAAGTTAAGGCAGCCAGCTGACCAAATTATTCAGTGAATGCAGAGTTGCCTGTGAAAATTATGGGTCTTGCACTTTATGCTAGCTTAACCAATGGTATGAAAATGGGCCTTTACGTACTTACTTCTGCTTCTTCTATACACTCATCGGCTGTAAATTCTGGTAGAAAGTTCATCTACTTTTGGACTTTAATCTTGTTACAGAACTCGAATTTTGCATGAACATCCATTTTACAGATCTGCTTATTTGTATGCAGACTGTTGGTTTCTCGCATTTCAGGCAGATGCACTCCGACTTCGGAGGACAAATCCCTAATTAGTTGCCTTTTATGACATGCTTGATAGGGAGGAGGCAGTGGGTCTATTCTTCCCCCCCCCCCCCTCCCAACTTAATTGGGCCCCAGAACCAACATGGAGAAGTTACTAATATGGTTCACTATTATTGGCCAATACTGATAAATAAGACAATATCCCAAACATCCTACAGGGATTTTTTAACATCACATCAGATATCCTTTGAAGAACATTATTCTCCTTATGACTAGGAGAAAAGACATCATCTTTCTTATACATCAGACAGGTATCTTATCTCACTCATCTTGGTGAAAAACAACATCAGAAATCTATTTTCCTTGAGAACATTTCGTTTTAAGCGGGTAACTTCTGAGTCTTCTGTGGGTTCCGGGACCCCACTGTGGGGAAAACAAAACTAGATCAACTGCCTGCCCAAAAGCATGTTGTAAGACTCAACTAACTGGGAGCTTCCTTTGAAGTCAGAGTACATCTGCCTGAGAGGCAAGGAACCAACAGTCTGCATGCAGATGAGTCAGACCTGTGAAATGGAAGTGCACAAAACACTCAGTTTCTAGAACAGGACTAGAGTCCAGAAGTGGATGAACAACCAAAACTTTCTGCCAGAGTTGACAGCCAGTGAGCGTGAAGAAGAAGAAGAGTCTTAGGACAGACCACAACTAGACAGACACTCAAATCTCTCATCTAAACCCAATGAGGATGTCAAACCTTCCGGTGAACCCAATGTGAAGCCTAAACCTCTCTTCCATATCCAATACGGAACATAAACTTCTTAACAAAATCCAAGGTGGACAACTAAAACCCAAGGTGGATACCAAAACCTCTCATCTGAACCCAAAAGGGATCAAAAAAGCTTTACAATAATATAAAATGGACATCTAAATCTCTCATCTGAACTCAATGTGGATGCCCAAACCTTTAAATTAATATAAGATGGACAGCTTAACCTCTCAAATGAAAGGTGGATGCCAAAACCACTTAACTCTACCCAGTGTGTACACTTAAACCTCTCATCTGTACCTAATATAGACAACTAAACCTCTCATCTGAACCCAATGTACATTTAAACCTCTCATCTGAACCCAATGTACATTTAAACCTCTCATCTGAACCCAGTGTACACTTAAACCTCTCATCTGAAACCAGTGTACACTTAAACCTCTCATCTGAACCCAGTGTACACTTAAACCTCTCATCTGAACCCAGTGTACACTTAAACCTCTCATCTGAACCCAGTGTACACTTAAACCTCTCATCTGAACCCAGTGTACACTTAAACCTCTCATCTGAACCCAGTGTACACTTAAACCTCTCATCTGATCCCAGTGTACACTTAAACCTCTCATCTGATCCCAGTGTACACTTAAACCTCTCATCTGATCCCAGTGTACACTTAAACCTCTCATCTGATCCCAGTGTACACTTAAACCTCTCATCTGATCCCAGTGTACACTTAAACCTCTCATCTGATCCCAGTGCACACTTAAACCTCTCATCTGATCCCAGTGTACATTTAAACCTCTCATCTGAACCCAGTGTACACTTAAATCTCTCATCTGATCCCAGTGCACACTTAAACCTCTCATCTGATCCCAGTGTACACTTAAACCTCTCATCTGAACCCAGTGTACACTTAAACCTCTCATCTGATCCCAGTGTACACTTAAACCTCTCATCTGATCCCAGTGTACATTTAAACCTCTCATCTGAACCCAGTGTACACTTAAACCTCTCATCTGAACCACAGCCATGATTTTTTCACTCGAAATTTGTTTAAACCAATTATAAGCACAGACACCTAGAAACTGGACACACAAGAACAAAAACTACCAACAACTCTGATCGCCCACAACAAACAAATCATACCACACTTGGCCTGTAGCACCCCATGCCTTCGTCTGTCAGCCGTTGGCAGTGAATGTTCATTTCCTGAAAGATCTCTCGAAATGACACTGCTTGTGGTGATCTGGCACATTCTGGCTTCTCTCGAGCCAGAAATTTCCAAGGGTTGTCGATCTAATTAAAATATTCATTAATAATTAGTTTGTTTTCCATCAAACTGTCAAAAAGTGATAGCATGTTAGTAAAGTTACTTTTAAACAGTATCTTCTACAAACTAGAGCTAATACTGTAATTGATTTCATCATCAGTTGATCAAGGCTTCTTGGAAGCGAGTGAACAGTGTGAGGGAAAAACAGATCATCACAGTCTAAAGAGAACAGAGAGTACGGAGTGATGGGAATCTAGATGAAACTCAAAACTACGGGAAAAAGTAAAACGGCCATAGAACCCAACTCTGGATCCCCCGAACTGGAACTTTGTGATGGCTCCTGAAGATGTGGATAGAGCACTTATGGGAATATCCTGAGTGCTAAGTCAGCTCTTAGTTCAACTCAACCAGTGTCTTCTTCAACTTCTGCATTGTTTTTTTCAACAATGAAGCACAGCTCAAATCTGTTACGATCAGTAACCTAATGTTCTCATGTCATTATTCATCTAATTCTTTTCCCAATGTGTTCATAAGTTCTCCTTTCTAGCTGTGTAGGTTTCTGAGAAAATACTTTGTAGTTACACTATTAACTGGTTTGTCTCCATGTGACCCTATCCAGTTTTCTCCTCGCCTCCGGATTTGCTAGAATGTGTTTAGTTCTCTCTCTCTCTCTCTCTCTCTCTCAAACCTTTCTTTTCCATAAGAGTTTAGCAATTTCTCGAAGTACCCCCAAGAGTGCGAGTTTGATCCCAATGCATCTGTTGAATTATTAAGAATCAAAGACCAATTTATTTTAACTAAAATAGCCAGTAAACAAGAATACAATTTATTTTGTACCTGGATAATCTGAATATCCACTTTATTGTCATCCATGACGTCTGTCCTCTCAAACTGTTTTAGTGCTGTAAGTATTCAAAATCGGCACTGAAATAATAAAACGAAAAAACTTTTTAAAAAACTCTTCAATTGTTTATTTCAAAATGTTTTTAACAATAAATAAATGTGGTTTAGTTGTGGTTGCTAGTTAATACAACCAACATCACAAACCATGCAGGTGTTCTTTTTTCTTCTGTAGCTGCCTAATTATACTTTTTACTAAAGAATAAGCTTGTGAAAAGAACAATCACTTATAGACTTACAGTATAGTAATAACTGTAGGCAGCAAAATTTATTAGATTTCACGGTTTTATATATTTTTTATACACTCATGTTCTGAAAATGTACAAGTTCCCTAATAATAATAACAATAACAATAAACAAATATTTTTTTTTTGGTGAAGGGGGGATAAAAGGGAGGGAGGGGCTAAACTGGCTAGAAATGACATCCTATTTTCAACTGAAAATATTACTGTCACCCTAGGCTTACAGACAGAACACAGTAAACAAAATAAAATACATAGTAAACAGATTTTCCAGTTTCAGTGAATCAAGTGGTGAGAAAATGAATAGATCAGACGAGACTGACTAGATCAGACTGACAGGTTCAGTATTAATATCCCACCCCACATGACGTCACAGGTTAGTCCAACATGTTAGTGGGTGGTAAGACTGGGTTTCCCGGCTTTCTTATGCTATCTATATTAATAAAAATGTTATTTTTTCAATTTTGTTAGCTAAAAACTCGGAAACTACTGAACCGATTGCTTTCAAATTTGCACACAACGTTGCCTTTGACTCCAAGCGTGATTTTCTTTGTCAGAAAATCACACAAACCACGAACGACGTAGCTCCAGCAACGGTCAAATCATCATTTGTTTCGTTGCTCGCCCGGATTAGTTTTTTTAATCGATTGGCCACCTTTGACTGTGTAACACCGAAGGTGAAATTATTATTATATACTTTCATTTCTACCAAATGCTTGAGTATTTAGTAGCGTAGTTAGTTGTAAGCATTTCGCTTTTTACTCGGGTGATAGGGGTTCGATTCCCCGCTGGGTGATATAAATTTTTTTGGGGGGGAGGGGGGGGGGGGCCCTAACTGGGTGGCTGCCACGTTTTGTTGTGGTTTATAGCTAGGCTGCAATATCTATGCTTTTTTCCGTTCGATTTTGGAGTTTACAGCTAGCCTGAGATAGCAGTGACGTGATGCTCAATGTTCATGTCACGCGTAATATTCGTTCGCCCTTGAGAGGGCGGCTGGCACGTTGTGTTGTGGTTTACAGCTAGGCTGCAATATCTGACCTAATGTCTTCAGTCTTCGGTAGTAGAGTTGTAAGTATTCCGTCGCTCCAAGCGAATGACCGGTGTTCGATTCCCCCGCTGGGTGCTAATTTTTTTCTTCTTCTTAAGGGGCGATTGGCACGTGTTGTAGTGGTTTACAGCTAAGTTGCGACATCTGCGCCTTGCGCCCAAAGACATCCGATTTCAGTACAGTCTCAATTAGCCTCCCCCCGACGCTTCACTAGATTATAGCTATTCGTTGATGACAGAAACTGTTAACTAAGAAGGCTTACGGTCCAGTTTGGTTTGGGTCGATTCGGATGCCAAGGTTAGTTAAACATCGTCCCTTCGGAGAGGGAGATATGACGAGTGCGGGTTTTTATTTCCGCTATTTGTGAGTATTGTGTACTTTTTTTTTTAAATCATGAAATATTACTGTGGGTTCCACCACTGGTTAGGTGATGGAGTTTTATGTCAGGGACACACTTAAACTAAATAGTCCGTGGCGACAGCATGCGGCGCTAACTCCTCTGGCTACAATGACCTGTACAGTCAGTAGTGACCGTTTTGTGTTGTTGTGACGATGGTGGTGGTAGTGGTAGCAGTAGTACTGGTACACAATGGGTTAGGTGGTAGCTGTTACACTGGCCACATTTACTTCTCAGTACAGATTAATGCTACCCACTTTTGTCTGGGTGGACACGGATGCCAAGCTCAATTTAACAACAATATTTCGTCAGGCGATGACTTTCCCATACTTCGTAGAGGATGATATGATTGTCACGGGAGGGGGGGGGGGGGGGGGTGTGTTGATAGCAGACACTGTTAACTGAGAGACCTTAAAACACAATTTTAAAGTTATCATTTCTTAACTATTTCTATTTTAACAATGTCGCCACATAAATTGCTTCAATCATTCAGAGAGGGAGAAAATAAGTGAGCAGATGCTTGAGTCCTTGGTAGCGCAGTTATATATTTTGCGTGTTGCGCGGGTGACCGGCGATCAATGCCCCGCTGAGTGATTAAATATTTTTTTCTTGCCTTTAACTAAGCTGCTGGCACGTTGTGTTGTGGTTTTCAGCTAGGCTGCGATATCTATGTCTTTTTTCCGCTTGGTTTGGGGATTTACAGCTAGCCTGTGATAGTGGCGACGTGATGTTGGTCATGTCAAGGGTAATCTTCGTTCGCCCTTGAGAGGGCGGTTGGCACGTTGTGTTGTGGTTTACAGCTTGGCTACGATATCAGACCCAACCTCTTCTGTCTTAGGTACTATAATTGACAGTATTCCGCCCTTCATGCGGTTGACCGGTGTTCGATTACCCACAGGGTGCTAATTTTTCTTTTTCCCTCAAGAGGGTTGTTAGCATGTTTTGTTGTGGTTTACAGCTAGGCTGCGATATCTGCACCTTTCGTCCAAATACATCTGATTTCAGTAAAGTCCCATTTACCCTCACCGCGACGCTTCACTCGATCATATACTATTCGTCGATGCTCACAGTCCAGTTTACTTTGGGTGGACATGGATGCCAAGGTCCTTTAACATTCGTCCCTTCGGAGAGAGAAGATGACGGGTGGGGGTTTTTATTTCCACTATTTGTGAGTATAGAACGGACTATTACTGTGGGTTCCTTCACTGGTTAGGTGATGAGTTTTTTATTTTTCTTTGTTGGGAGCTCAATTACACTAAACAGTCCGTGGCGACAACATGCGGCGCTAACTCCTCTGGCTACACTGGCCTGCACAGACAGTAGTGACTGTTTTTTGTTTTTGTTCTAAAGGTGGTGGTGGTAGTGGTAGCAGTAGTACTGGTACTGGATGGGTGGTGTGGTAGCTGTTACACTGGCCACATTTACTTCTCAGTACACATTTTTCTCTGGGTGGACACGAATGCATAGCTCAATTTAGTTACAATATTTTGTCAGATGATGACTTTCCCATCCTTCGGCGAGGATGATATGATTAGTGTGGGGGGGGAGGGGGGGAGAGAGAGGTTGATAGCAGACACTGTTAACTGAGAGACCTTAAAACATAATTTTAAAGTTATCATTTCTTAACTATTTCTATTTTAATAATTTCGCCAACTGGCGGTTTTATTCCTTTGGGGAGGGAAATATTCATTGGGGAAAAGCAGGGGGTGGGGGGTTATGCCAGACATTGTTAGCTGAGAGAGCTTAAATAATTATTTTCAAGTTCTCATTTCTTAACTATTTCTATTTTTATACTTTCGCCAGGGATGATTTTTCAATCCTTTGAAGAGAGAGACATGACTGGGTGGAGGGAAGAAGGAAGGGGGGTGAGGATTATGACAGACACTGTTAACTGAGAGCTACTTTCTTTCTTTTCCATTTCATCATTCGGGGCCACAGCAACGCGTGGCAGGGCACAGCTAGTTTATTAATAAACAACCTCAAAACATCTAGAACTGGCCCTAACCCCAACCCACCTACGTCCCACGACTGAATGCAGCCTATCTACCACCCCCTGAAATATTTGACTGTCCTGTGACCTGAAGATTTCCCCTGTTTGGGGTACGATATTAATAAAGCACCGACTGACAGATGAGAACACCTGTTGATATTTTACTTTCTCTTTTGGAACCCACAGTCACAGAGTACAGAGGAAACTAAAACTGGCTCTCCTTGCAGATCCGGACGAGGGTTGGACGCGGGCTGGACGACTTAGTAAAGTTCAGTGGGAGTTCTCTCCCTTGGCCGCACTCAAAACAAGTAGCGAAAAAAGTC